AAAAAAAAAAAAAAAAAAAAAAAAAAAAAAAAAAAAAAAAAAAAAGAAAAAAAAAATCTAAGGAAAGAGAACATGCATTTTGTCAACACTGAAAGCTGGCCAGAAGTACTTAGCTTTTCCCGAACATCAGAGATTTCCTTGTAGACAAGACATTTCTACTAAATCTTTAATACTCACCAGGTGCTTTGCCTTGGCTCGTTCTTCTTCACTTGATATCCTTTCTCGAAGAATAGCTCTGGTTAACTGCTCATTGGCAAAAGCCCTCTCTCGGTCCAGTTCTTTGCTTTGCTTAAGTCTGAAAAGACAGGAAAGGACTAACTTAGGAAAAACTATTTTACTGGTTATTAGTTAACAAAATACTTTAATAGAGAAGCAGCCAAAAATCACTCTGGCCTATAATTTATTAAAAGCATATTTTCTGGGGCGCCTGAGTGGCTCAGTTAATAAGCATCTGACTTCGGCTCAGATCATGATCTCATGGTTTGTGGGTTCAAGCCCCACGTCGGGTTCTGTGCTGACAACTCAGAGCCTGGAGCCTGCTTTGGATTCTAGGTCTCCATCTCTCTCTGCCCCTCCCTCCCTCCCTCTCTCTCTCTCTCTCTCTCTCAAAAATAAATATTAAAAAAAAAAAAAAGTGCGTATATTTTCTATTAAGCCCCCATGCAGCCCCTACCCAAACATTTAAAATAGCAGAATTCAAATCCCGGAAAAAGTTAATTGATAGGACTATTAGACTAGTTTTACAAAGTTCTTCCTATGTAAAACTGAAATGTGCCCACCTAAAAATTCCATCCCTGGTGCCTGCCTCCTTTGTCCTCTGGAATATAAGCAGTAAGTCTAATTAACAGGCCATCTACAAGACAAATATTTGAAAGTAACCATCATCTTCCCCTCAAAACTGACTCATTCAACTGTTTGTTGAATACACGGAAAAGAAGCCATGGAAAGAAGCACGATGACACAGTGCTGAACAAGAAGGATGGGTCCCTGTCCTCATGGATCTTACATTACAGCAGGGAACTAAAAACATAATTAAGATGTCTTCCCTCCAGATGAATTACTCCCATTTTCCAAGGATCCTCATATGCAAAAATGGCAAGACCTTTCAACAGCAGAGGTCCTCACTTCTGGAAGGACTCCAATTTGTCCCTTAGCTCCAAACTAAATGTAACACTATGGACACAAAATAAGAAATAAGTCTAGCAAAATAAGAAAGCAGAACTTCACCCTCTAAGATCTGTACAGAATACTGATTGTGTTAATGAAGCATCCGACAACACTGGGTTTATCAGTAACCTCATCACACAATTACATCATAGTCAGTTACCATCCACTAAAACCCCTCATTGTGCATGAAAAAGATAAATTACTTTGGTACCTATTTCTACCATAATGCCTGGCACATAAAGGTATTCAGTAATCAGTGAATGAGAAGATATTTCAGTCTAATCTCATGAACAAAGACTTTCTGATTGCCTTTTCTTCTTTGAGAGAATAACCCCTGTATACCATCATATCCCTAAAGGTACAAGCACTGCTTTAAAAAGAAAAGGTAAAATTGTTATGTTGGTATAAGTGAAATTCTGAATGAAATCTACTTTGTAAGTGGGAATGATGAGCACCAAATTGAATTCAATACTACTCTATTAAATTTAGTCTTAAAATGATTTTTGAAAAGAACTAAAGAAAATAAAAATCTTTGCTACTATTTTTAAACTCCCACATCATCCAGATACTCTGAAATTCTCAGAAATCAATTATAACCAAACTTGATTATAATCAATTATAATTAAAAATATAATTAGAAATTACCTTGTAAAATATATTCCAAAAAATTAAACCTGTGTGTTTTTAGGTCTTGAATAAAGACGAATAACAGAAACACATTAAAACCTACACTTTGAAAATCTCTAATGCAAAAGTAACCTCTAGAAACTTTTCCTTAAGGGATGCCTGGGTGGCTCAGTCGGTTAAGCGTCCAAGTTTGGCTCAGGTCATGATCTCACAATTTGTGGGTTCAAGCCTCACCTCGGGCTCTGAGCTGAAAGCTTGGAGCCTGGAGCCTGCTTCGGATTCTGTGTCTCCCTCTCTCTCTGCCCTTTCCCCCACTTGTGCTCTCTCTCTCACTTAAAAAATAAATAAACAAACATTAAAAAAAAAAAATTAGGAACTTCTCCTGAAACAGTAAGTACAATTACACTGACACAAATCAAATTTCTCCATACTATTTCACAGTGAGTTCAGCAACATCAATACCAATACGGTAACTCAGTGGACCTGCATAATCGAAAAAGAACACCAATAATGCGAAGTCTTGTCACTTCCAAGCAGCAGTTCCAAAAGTATCCATAAATGAGCAGCAGTGGCAGCATCCATGGGAAATTGTGAGAAATGCAAATACTTGGACACCACTCACATCTACTGAATTAGAAAGTCTGGGGGTAGTGTCTCCAAACTGCCTTTTAATAAGCCCTCCAGGTGATTCTAATGCTTACTAAACCAAGAGCCACAGCCCTCAACTAGCAAAATATACTTCTACTCACATAAATCCTGGAGGCCCTATATATAAAAGGAGAACATCAAAAATGAAGTGGTCCTCATCAAGCTAGTGTGCCGGTCACTGCTGAGGTTACCGTATAAGGTAACAAGATGGTGCAGTTAAATAAAGCATTTTACTGGCATGGCACCTGCATGTAAAAGATATTACCTATGTTACAAGTCAGGTGGAAACTAAAAATAATAAAAATCACCATCATGTATAGATCACCTACTATATGCCGAGCACTGTGCTAGGGACATTACATACATATATACAACTATTACAAAAATTACATTATTAGTTCATTAACATAAAATGAATTCTGTACAACTAGATTTTCTATCTTCTACCACATGTGGTATATATCATATTTTAAAGTAGTATTTATTTAATAATAACTGCCTACTTTTTAAAATTTAGTTTACTCACATATACCAATTTTAACTACAAATGTAGTTAAAAGGAGTTCAAGCTTAAAAGTTTTGACAAGGTAATGAAAAAGAAGCAAACTACTATGTTTGGGGTGCCCAGGTGGCTCAGTCAGTTAAGTGTCCAACTCTTGATTTTGGCTCATGAATCTCATGGTTCATGGGATCAAGTCCCACATTAGGCTCTGAGCTGACAGCACAGAACCTACTTGGGATTCTCCTTCTCCTGTCTCTCCCCCCACTCACTCTCTCTCTCAAAATAAACTTAAAAAAAAAAAAAAGCAAAAACATATACACAACTTCAATGTTATAATAAAAATAAAGGTTATCAGTTTGTAATATTTGGTACAGAGGCACAGACTTTGGAGTTGGGAGTCCTGGGTCCAGAACAAGGCTCTAGCACTTACTAGCTGAGTCAATGCTTGAGCCAACCTCCCTGGGTCTTGTTATTCTCATGAGTAAAATGAACTGGTGTAATACCTACCTTAAAGGGTTCTACGTACACAAAGCACTTAGCATGATGCCTGTAATACAATAAGCACTCACCACTATTAGGGTAAGTAGCAGTATTAGTAACAGTACTCACTATGGAGTCAGGAACACAGAGAAAGCAATGGTATTCTGAAAAGAAGAAGCAAATCTCCAAGTTCGCTAAATACACCATGACTATACATAGCTTGGTCTTCTCCATCTTTGTTTCCAAGTTTTCACTAATAAGAAGTTCTGCTTTATTGTTACGACCTTCAAGAACTTCCAAAATTGAAAATGGCAATGCCCTTGCAGCCCTATCCCTTCACCTGCTCCTTTGTTTCTTCCCCACTTGCCTATAAGTTCTGTAAGGGCAAGAAGATGGTCTGTTTTTGTTCACTGCTATATTCCCGGGGCTTTTACCAGTGCCTGCCACAGGGTAAGTGCTCAACAAATACTTGTTGAACGTATGCATGCAAGAATGAATGAGTAGCATGTTTCCAACCACAAAGAAAGAAAGAAAGAAAGAAAGAAAGAAAGAAAGAAAGAAAGAAAGAGAAAGAAAAAGGAAGGAAGAAAAGAAAGAAAGAAAGAAAGAAAGAAA